CGAGCTAATTCTAAAAATTACTTGACCTACTTTAGCATTGCTAATCCGGGGTTCCCACCAGACTAGGTGGTCAAAAATGAAAGTGATTTGACGCCCTCCGCGCCCAGTGACCAGGCTTCGGACCCATATGGTAATATGGAGCGTACCGCAACATTGTAAACTCGACCCCTACTGGATAAGCGGATGTCATGCATACGCGACAGGTGGTGCAGGTTCACTAAATCTGTCCTGGCGTTCACAGTCCGGATGAAAATATCATCTTTTGCGAGACCACACGGGCTGATACAGCTTCCCAGGTAGACGAGTTTGTCTACTAGCTCAACCGGCTCATCCGCAAGCATGAGTGTGGGAATCGAGCTCATCCATTCTTGCAGTAGCACTTTACACTTTGCAGCTGTGAAGCGCATGCCAAACAGTGAGGCAGAATTATTTATATTATTCAATATCTTTAGCATTACCGCTATGTCGGATCCTGGGCGAGATGGCCCAAGTGGTTAGAGCGCGAATTTACTGACCGGAAGGTCCGTTGTTCGAACCCGATCTCTGCCTCACGACTCCCCTGTGTAGGCTTGGGCAACCTGGCAGTATCCCAGCCCTCGTGCAACCTTCGGGTGGCATGGCAGCTAGGCACCGAAAGGGTGCTACAGCTGAACGATTGTTGTTATGTCGGATCCAAAGAGAGCTGTGTCCTCTGCGTACTCGATATTTGTGAGTGAATGTTCCGGGAGCACTTCGACCCCATAGGCTGATAGTGAGTCTACATTGATCGTACCAGTAACGAACTTGAAGACGAAAGGACAGCCGTGCCTGACACCAATTGATGTTGTGAACTCATGTGAGAGCTTCCCGTAGACCTTCACACGTCTGCGGAAGTTGGCGTGCAGCGTCTTAATGAGGGTCAAGGATTTATGAGAGACATCTTTACTACATGGTGTCTTCTGGTCCACAGATTGAAAAGCAGCCTTCAAGTTAACTATTCTTGGTTGCTGGAAGCGCTGTCACCGTTCCAGAATCTTTCGGAGGGTGAAAAAAGGGGCTGATTAAAGACCACCCGATCGCGACGCCTTCTCGAGTTTCTGCACGGGTATTTCATACTTTATTTCTGCTTCCGACGGGCGATTAATGTTTACTTTCCATTCACCCGTATGCACTATCTCCCTAGCTTTCAATGTCCACCAGAGCTCTTAGCCCCGACACAAAGCTGCCAGCTTGTCGTGGTGTTCGGGTTTCTGTGCTGCATGATCCTGCGGGCTATACTGACAGAAGCCTAGTTCCTAAGGTTTCAACCACGGGGAGCAGCCCGATGATGAACAGCAAGTCTCCGTACTGCGAGTAATCTTGTTATAAGATGGTTCGGAGGAAGAGTCGTATTGTCCTTTGCGATAAGAGTGGAGGCAGTAAGGCGTTTTTCGCCAGGCGACCAGCATGTCCATATTTATGGAAGCTGCGATGCTGCCTTATCCCCAGGAAAGACGGGTTAGAAAAGGTCGACCCTAAAGGCTGCACACTCCGATCGCTCAACGGTTAACCGTGAACGCTGGTGCATTATTCAATACGGTCGAAATACCTTTAAAAACAAACATCTCGGTGCTGCTCAAAAGGCACCTGCTGTGCATAGCTGCACTAGGAGCGAGACAGTGATGTCTTACTCCCTGCGCCCTCGGACCAGGCTGGCCCCCTACAACTAAGTAGGTCAGACCATTGAAATATTGGCTCCGGGAAGGGTCTCCCAAGAAAACCTCAACAACCGCTGTCTCGCGGTCCATACTTCGAGTCAGAGCCTAGGAGCAGGGCCCACGAACAAAGCCTTGCATCCTCCCACAGCATTGTGGGTAAGACTTTTGAGTCAAAGGCTTAAAGTGGGGTATATCAACTAGCCCCCTTCTTTGGCCTGGGCAACCGGGAAGTATCATTTGCCCTAACAGCTCTTCCCTCACCGGCCTTCCCCGTCAACCCCTCCCAACCCATCGAGTAGTGCAGTGAAACCAACCCATACGCCAATCCTCTAACCGCTGTTCCGTGCCTCAACCATCGCCCATAAAAATGAACCAAAATAACCACCTACTAACCTCAAAATATTTGATCCACGTTGTAGCTTTCACTGTCCGTACTCTATGTCGAATTGGGCAACAGACATCCCTTTCTTAAACCGTACTTTCCCTCTCTATTGATGTATTTTGTGTCTCCTACGCATACCAGACCCAAGTTCGGCCGTGCTCCTCAAGCCGCTTAGGACGAACCCAAATGTTCCACATCTCACTCTTCGGGCATCAGGTGTTCCTGACACAATGGCTCCTTGTATCTCTGGTGTGGGAGTTGCACTTAGCCCCAAGGTTGAAAGCGCCTTACTGGACTGGATCCCAGTAAACAGTCGCCTTTGCGCTGTTTGGTTGTCTGGCTGCATTACATTAAAGCAGATTGATGCAGTAAACGGTTTTCATTCGTCGTATTAGCGTACACCCCAGCAAACTGCAGTTCTGAGACTGAGAAGAATAAGTTCTATCTAGATGTATCACGACTGTTCCGGTCAGAAAGAAGGACGGATATAGCAATCCTGACAGGTGTTGGACGCCTTAGTCCGGGAGAAGCAAAGTTAGGTGGTCGGTTTGGAGTTAGTGCTGAGTGTACGGATAATGGAGGCGGCTTCTTCAGTTGTGTACAGACCATCGTCTGTTCCTGGCCAGTACTAACTTCCAAATGCTCACAGCAAGTTACTTGGAGACCACCGACCACAGGAAAGTCATAGACTCAACCGGACCATATGGCTATCAGTTACCATAGGGAGACTCAGTTAAGGATTGTTGTTCCTTCTGGGGTACGCAACTTGACTGATCACGCCATCTTGTGGGCCCGCCTAGCACTTCGTCTTCCACCAGCACTACGCGTACCAAAGGAGAGCAGGCCCGTTCATCAACTTCGGCAAGTTCCAGTAGCTGAAGAGTATCGAGCTTATCTGGCTAGAAAGCTAGTCATCATCATCGTCGACAGCATGACGTCAGTGTTCAACACCGATGCTTCACTGCCGTACAACCATGACTTATTTGAAAGCCTTATTGTAAAGAAAAGAATAAAGGTGGGGTAAAGCCGTACTGTCCTCTGCGACAGGAGTGTGAAGGCAGTAGGGTGTTTCCACCAGGCGACCAGCATGTTCATATTTATGGAAGCAGGGATGCTGCCTTCCCCCGAGGAAGGACGGGTTAGAAAAGGCCGGCCCCAAAAACCACACACTCCGATCGCCCAACGGTTGACTGTGACCGCCGGCGCATTATCCAATACGGTCGAAATACTTCTAAAGCCAAAGAGCCCGGTGCTGCTCAAAAGGCACCTGCTGTGCGCAGCGGCATCAGGAATGAAACAGTAATGCCTTATTCCCTGCGCTCTCGGGTTAGCTAACCCCCTGCAGCCGAGCAGGTCAGATTATTGAGTCATCGGCTCCGGGCAGGGTCCCCAAAGAAAGCCCTACATTCTCCCACTGCCTCGTGGGTCAGACTTTTGAGTCAGAGGCTAGGGTCAGGGTCCCCGAACAAAACCCTACGTCCTCCCACTGCCTTGTGGGTCAGACTTTTGAGTCGAAGGCTCAAGGTGGGGTACCTCAACCAAACCCCCTTCCTCGGCCTGGGCAACCGGGAAGTATCATTTGCCCGCGCAGTTCAGCGTCCACCGATGTCCCTCCCCAACCCCTTCCCACTGCACAAGCAAACGTCGCTGGGCCATTTGACTGTCAGTCATCTGACCGAAGGGCCTTATGCTCCACGCTGCCTACAAGCCTTAAACAAAATAACACCTTTCTAAATCCACGAGATCCTTTCTATATAGGAGCTTTTAACGTCCGTACTCTATGTCAAATTGGCAAACAGGCTATGCTTGCTGAAACCTTGTACTCCCTTAAAATTGATGTATGCTGTGTCTCCGAAACACGCATACAAGACCCGAGCGTGGTTCTGCATCTCAGAACGCCAAGGATGAACCCAGCTCTTTCACATTTCTCCCTCCGTGTGTCTGGTGACCCAGAAGCGATGACTCGTGGAATGTATGGCGTGGGAGTTGCACTCAGCCCCAGAGCTGAACGCGCTTTGCTGGATTGGATCCCAGTGAACAGTCGTCTCTGCGCCGTCCGGTTATCCAGTTCAATCAAGCTCAATGCCTCGCGGCATAAAAAGCGGTGCCTGTTTGTCGTGTCGGCTTATGCCCCGACGGACTGCAGTTCTGATGCGGAGAAGGATACTTTCTATCGAGAGCTATCCAGGCTCATTCGTCAGGCAAAAAGCACTGACATTGTGATCCTTGCAGGCGATTTGAATGCTCAAGTAGGTCGTCTGAGCTCCTTGGAATCACATTTGGGTGGTCGATTCGGAGTCGATGCTCGCCGAACAGACAACGGGGATCGCCTCCTTCAGTTGTGTGCTGATCACGAACTGTTTCTGGCAAGTACGAACTTTCAACATAAACGTTCGCACCGCGTAACCTGGCGGCCGCCAACTACAAATCAACCGTGGACCCAGTTGGACCACGTGGCCATCAGTCACCGGTGGAGAGCCACAATTCAAGACTGCCGTTCCTTCTGGGGCACACCACTTGATTCCGATCACGCCATGGTGCGCGCACGCCTGACAGTTCGTTTCCCTTCAGGCCCTCGCAAGTCGGCAAGAAACGTGCCAATCCACTATCTTCGAAGAACTGCCATAGCTCAACAGTATCGATCTGAGCTAGCCCAACAACTCTCCACAGTAAAACAATACTGTGGTGGCAGTGAACATGTGGACGAAGCGTGGCAAAATGTGAAAGGAGCCATGCTAGCGGCGTTCAGTGCTGCCTGCCCGACTTCTCCAATTCGACCACGGGACCACTGGATGTCGTCGAGGTCGTTATCCATGATTGATGCCAGGAAAGCCATACCATCAGGCAACGAGTACGACGGCGCACGCAAATCCCTTTAACGCCAAATAGTGAAGAGTCTAAGGAAAGACCGAGATCTCTGGTGGACATCGAAAGCTCGGGAGATGGAGAAGGCTTTTGCTACGGGAAACAGCCGGGCCCTTTATCAACTGATACGATCGACTGGCCCTAGGAAAGCAACAGTCAGCGAAACGATAAATGGAAAAGATGGCTCATCAATTCACTCGCAAAGACGTCGACTGGATAGATGGGCCGAACACCTCGAAGAGCATTTCAGATGGCCTCATACAACACAACCAGTGGAGGTAATAC